ACAAAAGTTGTTTGTAAATCACAAGAAATGAACCCAGACTTTATTTTTAAAAAAGTGATGTCCTTACATACACAGGGTAAATTTTATGGCAATTTCTTAGGGAAAAGCTATATGTAAACCCATTGTCTATTGCACATAATTATATTCCCAGTTAATTGCACAGTACAATTTATATAGTTATCATTCCATAGTGAGTTCAGTGATTTTAAACATAAAGTCTTTTTAGAGTACTAATAAAGCAATCCTCTCAGGCACATGTGCAACAATGACCTCTACATTATTACTCTAGCCATGTTCTAGTGCCAGGAGCAGGAAAAACAAATTATGTAGAACTTCTCACAGATGATTGTTGTTAACAAGGCTTATTTTTGTTTGGGTGCTCCACTTATTATCTATGCATGCCTGACCTCTTGTGAAACTAAAACCTCTTAGGAATGTCAAGGTTAGAAGTGAGGCTCTGTAATTTTCCATTCGTCATCAGGTACTAGGTTCAAGCATCAGATTGTCTTTCAATTCATTCATTTGACTGGTGCCAAAGTCTGTTCAAATGTTCCATGTGTTGTTTACTTTTGTATTTGTGACTCAAAGTATTGCTTCCAAGTATTCTATGAGCTTTCCAAATTACTTCAATGAAAATAGGTTGGCAAATGTCATAGAAATGATTATATTGAGAAAAATGTTCAAGTACAAGCAAGTGGGGAAGGGAAGCACTTCCATGTAGATCATTAACTTTTTTTTTTAAATCTAATTTTAATTGGCACTTCTTTTTTTAAAAAAATATTTTTTATTGATTAGAGCCCTTAACCTAGGCATGTGCCCTTGACAGGAATCGAACCCGGGACCCTTCAGTCTGCAGGCCAAAGCTCTATCCACTGACCCAAACCAGCTAGGAGATATATATATATATTATACTAGTGGCCCGGTGCACAGATTTGTGCACATTAAAATGAAATTAATTAGAAGAAATATTTTAATATCGCAGCAAGCTAACCCATGGCCAATTCCACGAGGAATCAGGCTCCCTCCTCCCTCCTCTCTGGGTCCGGGGTGTCAGTGAACCAGATGTGGGGCTGACAGGGCCCCAGCAGCAAGCTAACCCACAGCCAGCAACTTAACCTGCCCCCTGGTGGTCAGGGCGGATCATAGCTACCGGTCAAATGGTCAAATGGCCAAATGGTCACTTAGGCTTTTATACAGAGAGATTTTTATTGATTTCAGAGAGGAAGGGAACGGGAGAGATAGAAACATCAATGCTGAGAGAGAATCATTGATCGACTGCCTCCTACACTCCCTACAATGGGGATAGAGCCCTGACCAGGAATCAAACTATGACCTCCTGGTTCATAGGTCCATGCTCAACCACTGAGCCATGCCAGCTGGGCAAGATCATTAACTCTATCAATAAGGATAATAAAAGGAAGACACTGGAGTATTTACCATTAGCATGGAAATAATGATTAAGAAGTAAAAACATGTAAAACTAAGATTGGAAGGTGATGAGCACATCCCAAGCAGAAAGCCAAACAGGATTGAAACCACAGTGGCAGGAAGAACAAGATAGGAAATGCAGAAGAGGAAGGACTGTAGTGTCCTGGCAGAGTGTTTGCACAATTCCATTTGAAGCATCAGTATCCTGATAAATAAATAGCCATCCTAGTAAACACTCAACCCATATGTCCAGGGTCAGACCCTGAGGGGCTAAAAGCTACAACAAATGTGACCAGATGAACAATAAAAGGCCACACTTGTGTGGAATTAAACAGCCAGCTCTGCAGGACATAATTCTCATTTCTTTTTTCTAGTACCTGACAATATTCTCTAACTCCTTCTCTAGAATAAAGTGCAAATGGCATGGTGCTGCCATCATCTCATATCAGCTCTTTAAAGCCACTGTCAACTGTTGGTTTATAGGACTCAATATCTATAGTCTGTTTCAAAATTCTGGATATTACATATGCCTATTTTCTTTCTCTTCTTAGTCACTGTCCAATAAGAACCTACAAATAAATCAGAAAATAACTAATGGTAAATATGAAAGAGTTTAAAATATATAATACACAATGATTTTGTATTAAATTTAAATGTTTCATCCAAATTGTTTAGGATAAGCTCAGACCAGGTGTACAAGAGAAAATGCATCTATTCAAATACAGAGTCAGGCTACCATCAACAAATGATAAGTGCTGGTGAGAATGTGGAGAGAAGGGAACCCTAGTACATTGCTGGTGGGAATGCAGATTGGTGCAGCCATTATGAAACAGTATGGAATTTCCTCAAAAAATTAAATGGAAACACATTGTGACTGTACACTTTTTTTTTTGCATCTAGACTGTTTTGTACAAAACGTTCTTGAGCGTCATCATGTTGCTTTTATCAGTAGTTTGTTCCTGTTTATTGCTGATTAGTATTGCATGTGAACTGTATATCCTTTGATGGATATTTGTTGTGTGTTTTCCAATCTTATCTTTCTTTCTGTGCCTCAGAATTATCTCCATCCTGCTGCCCTGCCCCCAGCCTTCAGAGGGTTGTTTCCGGACACCTAACAAATCCTCAAAGGGACTGTTCCATCCTGGTTTTCACATGCTAATTTTGGGCACTTATGGCCTTTGGGACAGAGTTAGAGGGTGGGTGCAGAAGACTCACTCTGGACTGGAGCTCCATGAGCATGTAATCTAGCATTCCAGCCCACACACAGCCATTCAACATTTGGATGGTCTCCTATTACCTGTTTAGGGTGCATTCATGTAGTAAAGTTACTAGATGTACCATAAACTGTTCTGTAGGAAATGAAAAAAACTGTCATTCCCTCCTCTCTTAGCTCTCACTACCATCTGGATTGAAGTTTATGAATGTTTATTTGTGCCCTCAGTTCTGGTCATTTTTTCATTTTTTTTAAAATATATTTTATTGATTTTTTACAGAGGAAGGGCGAGGGATAGAGAGTTCGAAACATCGATGAGAGAGGAACATCGACCAGCCGCCTCCTGCACACCCCCCACTGGGGATGTACCCGCAACCAAGGTACATGCCCTTGACCAGAATCGAACCTGGGACCCTTCAGTCCGCAGGCCGACGCTCTAGCCACTGAGCCAAACCGGTTAGGGCTCTGGTCATTTTTTAACTGATTTTAACAAATCTTTTCTGGCTTGTGCTTGTTGTGAAGTGGAGCAAGTCTCTTATAACTTTATAAATCCTGACTGGTCTCTTTACTTTTATTTTGTAATCGTTTCAGAATACCTCCTCCAGGGTTCCTGAACAGAATTCTCCTCTATGAAGTAGTAGTGACAATCACTGAAAGTGCTCCTTTTCTTCTCCCCTTCCCACTTAACTTACTGTTCTCCTTTGCATTCGCGTAGGCAAAAGCCACTGGACCCCCCTGTGACTTTTCTATCTGGCCTTGTTTCTTATTCCCAGAGCCTCTCCCTCCAGCCATGCTTTCCCTTTCCTCTATCTATGCATAGGGTTGCGGGCTCCATCCCCTGGGTGGAGGCAGCCGATCAATGATTCTCTTGGGCCTCCCTGTACTTGAAAACAATTTTGACCTTTCACAGGAAACATGTAAGTAGAATTTACCTTAAAGATCCTTGGTTTATTAAGCTCCACTCTTGGTTTAGTACCTACCATACAAGTATTGTTCAAACATTTTGCCTAGATCCTTAACTTGCATTATGGTGGCTGTTTGTTCAGGGTTTTCATACTGTTTTGAGGACGGCCCCGCCAGCATGGCTCAGCGGTTGAGGGTCAATCAATGAGCCAGGAGGTCACAGTTAGATTCCCCGTCAGGTCAGGGTTGCGGCTGGACCCCCAGTAGGGGACGTGCAGGAGGCAGCCGATCAATGATTCTTATCATCATTGATGTTTCTATCTCTCCCTCTCCCTTCCTCTCTGATATCAATAAAAATATATTTTTAAAAAAAGGATGGCCTCTTCCTGAAACCTTTTTCTTAAATTCTAACCATCTTGTCTAACCCTGGAATCTGGAAGTGCTCCATCCCAGCTGGGCTGACCTTTTGGATTTGGCAGACTGCCCCGCTGAACACACAAAACTTGCCTCTAATTCTCTAACTTCAGCTACAGTTATGGCCTCCGAAGAAGAAAATTTCGGTGATTTCCCTATTACTAGAGTTCCACCTTGAATAGTCCCACTGTCTTCCACGTCACTTACGGTCTCACCCAAGATTGCTGTTCTGATTCGATTAATACACAACCTGAAACCACAAACACAGGAGCTACCAGTTAAGATACAAATACTAGGAGAGAATGTTATTTAAATGCATGAAATGTCAAACTTTCTGCAAGCCATGAGTCCCGCCTGTGCTGAACAGTGATTCCCTGTATGTCATTTAACCCTCAGAACAACTGTGTATTGTTGTTATTCTCATTTTCTAAAGGCGATAACCTACCCTTTGAGACGCTGAGGAAAGCGGCCAAGTTACACCGATGCGGGGAGCACGGGGCTCACACTCCTGTTAACCAGCCGCCGAGGGGGAGAGGGGGGGGGGGGGGCGCGTGTGCAAAACCAACCAAACCAAAACCAAAACGAACACCAGCTGGATGCCCTCCTGCGTACATGTTCCTTCTACTGAACAAGAGGCTCCAAGTTAAAATAAGTGCGACTTTTTTAAATTAAATTAAAACAGACGTGAGTCTATCGTCCAGTTCATCCCCCTCCCAGCGCCCGCGACGGTCAGGGACGAGACGACGGCTCGGCGGAGGGCGGAGGCAGGAGCGCACGTTTTTTCCCTTTGTAAAGGGAAATGGCCTCCACGGGGGGGGGGGGGGGGCACACTATTACTTTTAAATTTTCTAGGGCCAGGCGGCCAATTTTTACCTTCAAGTGTTGGGAGACCTAGGTAAGAAACGCAAGCGCGCACATTCCCGGCCGCTGCGCTTCGGGTTGCAGGCGGCGGAGGAAGGACGCATGCGCGGGGCCCGCACACGCCTCTGAGAGCGCTCTGCGCAGGCGCGGGCGCAGGTTGCAACAGGGCTCGCATCAGCTGATCCGTCCCCGCGCTGCTCCCGCCCCCTGACTCCGCGGCGACCCTGCTGCAGGCCAGTCGCTCCAGCCCCGCAGCCTGACCGCGCTCTCCGCGACCCTGTCCTCGGGCCTGTCCGCGCCGGAGCAGCTCGGGACTACGCGGCGCCGGTGAGCGACCCCGATGCGCGGCCGCAGGTCCCCTTCCCGAGCGGAGGGAGGGGAGACCGCGGGGAGCTGGGCCCGCCTGGCGACAGGGGCGGAGCGCTGGGCGGTGTGGATGGAGGGGCTGTGCCACCTCCGCCTCCTGCCCTGACCCCGACTCCTGCGGTGGGGACGGGCTTCGGCCCAAGCCCTGGGCGCGCTGGGTTGGTTCCTCCTTGTGCGGCCGCGGGTTTTGCCATTTTTGAGTTTTCTTGCACGGTTGACTGGGTCTTCGTGGTAACCTTTCCGGAGTAGACTGTCTGCTGGGTTTGGTTTTGTTTTGTTTGTGTAGCTGACGGAAGGGACTGGCTTCCTTCGTTATCGCAGAAAGTTACGACCCATTTAAATGGGATGGACTGCTGTACTTTTTTCTCTCTCTCTCTCTTCATACCGAGTCTGAGTTCCATATTGGTTTTCAGAAAAGTAAAAGGCTGCGATAAAACAAACAAACAACACTGTGAGCACACGGAAGAGAAGGGGGCCTAGAACCTCTCTATATGCCAACCAGCCGCCAGGGATAGAAGTGCTTAAAGTCAGAAGGGTTCTGGGGAAAATTCAGTAAGAAGTGTGGGGATGCCCAGTACCCGACAAGGTCTGGTGTTTGTCCATTAGCCTGGGAACAAACACCTTTTTTTAAAAAAATTTTATTGATTTCAGAGAGGAAGGGAGAGTGGGGGAGAGACAGAGAGGAACATCAATATCAACGAGGAGAGAGAATCACCGATCGACTGCCTCCTGCACACCCCACACTGGGGATAGAGCCTGCAACCGCGGAACCTTGACCTCCTGGTTCATAGGTTGAGCTGAGCCATGCCTGAGGCATGCAGGCAGGGCAAGCACACCTTTCTGAGGCCGACTCATCAAGGCCACTGCTAATGAGGTCCAGACAGAGCCACTGGTTTTGCCTTCTGTGTCTTTCTCTCCTAAGACATACCTGTGCCTGGCAAGAATGGATTTGGCTGGGATTGAATGTCATTGAAACAAATCAAGAGAAGATAATGCATTTTTGTAGAAGTCATAAGTTATGTTTTTGAACTTACACATAATAAAAATGGCTTTAAATTTATACTTAATTTTCCCCACATTATTTTTGACACTGTTATGCTAAAATTTTGAAATTGATGTTTTGTGGGGGTAAGTTATAGTCAATATTTTGGAATGTTCCTTTCATAATTTTAGCTCTGCCCACTGCTGAATGAGAGAAAAACATGTAGAATTTGGTTTTTGAGTTGTTTTTGTTGCAAGTGTCTAAGTGTTTAAAGCAAAGAACTGTGTGGATGAGAGGGATTGTAAATTTCATTTATCACAAAGGAGCATGAATTTTAAAAGATTGAAAAATACTACTTTGAATTTGCTTGGTGATACCTAATTGTTATCTGCCCAAAGAAACTTTTGCCTTTGGTGCTAATTGATCTAAAGGTAGTATGTGTTTGTGTTTTATTCTAAGAAATGTGAGGCCCACATTACTTTTCAGAGAAAGTATAGACTTGTTAAATTATAATGTTGTTTGAAAGCCCATTCTCATCACAAGTCTATTTCATAACTAGGGGCCCAGTAAACAAATTCATGCACTTGAAAGGAACTGTGGACCGCGAGGCTGCGGTGGGCACAGGGGCAGGTCTTGGCCCATCCTCTGCACCCCCGCCCAGTCCCTCCGCCATGGCCCCTGGTCCCCTGTCTGCTGGCAACTCCACTCCCGCTGCCGCCGCTCCCACATGATGGCGCCGACCCCACTCGCACCTGCTGACAGCTCAGAGAGATTGGGGCCGGCGCCAGTAGCGGTTGTGAGCGGGGCCAGAACCATCAGCAGGTGCAAGCAGTGGCTGCTACCCCAATCACCCAGGAGCAGGGGGAGGCGGAGAAGCTCTGAGGGGAGATCGGGGCCAGCAGCTGCTGCTCACACCCACTGATGGCACTGAGCACCAGGCGGGACCACAGCACACAGGAGCAAAGAATTTTCAGGGGCCAGCAGCTGCTGCTCACACCCACTGATGGCACTGAGCACCAGGCGGGACCACAGCACACAGGAGCAAAGAATTTTCAGTAACCACCAGAGGCTCGCCCAGATGATAGCGATGGGCGCCCTGCCTTGGTCTGGCCCTCACTCACCTGCTCCATAATCCCACCACGGCTGATGCCTGCCATGTTCCCCGCATGCCCCCTTGTGGTCAGCACACATCATAGCAACCGGTTGTTCCGCCATTTGGTCTATTTGCATATTTGGGTTTTATATATAGAGATATTTTGATAGATAAACACTTTTGGACTCAAGTAAGTGGCTTCATTGTTTCAGACATTACTTTGATTGAATATAATTCTAATTCCCAAAGTAGTCTGTCTGAATGAACATTACCCTGAAGTTTTCTAAATTAATTAGGTTCGTATAAATGTTCCATACGGTTCTTGCGTATACATGTTTTGTGTGTGAAGTTTACTATAAGATTATTCTTTTTCTTTAGACATGGGAAAGTCTTTTTCCCATTTGCCTTTGCATTCAAATAAAGAAGATGCTTACGGTGGAGTCGCATCAACTGAAAACATGAGGAATGGATTGGTTAGTAATGAAGTCCATAATGAAGATGGAAGGAGTGGAGATGTCTCTCAGTTTCCATATGTGGAATTTACAGGAAGAGATAGTGTCACCTGCCCCACTTGTCAAGGAACAGGAAGAATTCCTAGGGGTATGTGCCCTTTATTTTCCCTTTAAAGAATGATTTCAGCCCTGACTGGTTTGGCTCAGTGGATAGATCGTCGGCCTGCGGACTGAAAGGTCCCAGGTTCGATTCTGGTCAAGGGCATGTACCTTGGTTGTGGGCACATCCCCAGTAGGGGGTGTGCAGGAGGCAGCGGATCGATGTTTCTCTCTCATTGATGCTTCTAACTCTCTATCCCTCCCTTCCTTTCTGTAAAAAATCAATATAATATATTTAAAAAAAAAAAAAAGAATGATTTCAGGCATTGGCAAAAGAGAAACTGCATGAAGAGGGATGGCATATGATGATGAGTCAAATAGGAAAAAAAATATCAGTTTGTGGAATATCATAGAAATCAGAAGGAAATCATTCCCGTGTGCTGTTTTCAGGCTATTTTAGGAGCAATGGCAACAATAGAAATAGTAAAAGTACGTTTGTGCTCTTCCACTATCTGCTTGGTTAGAGTTGCTGATGTGACTCTGGAGAAGCCCAGGGAAAGGACAGAGTGGCAGTATAAGGTCTAGCAGAGTCTCTGATAAATGCCTTGGGTTGGGAAAAATTATATTTGAGTTGGCCTTTGAATGTGATGATTTTATCTTTGCAGTGATAGTGACTGAGAATAAAAGGATTATTTTCGTTGAAGGGATTAATGTACCGGACTAGGGGAGGGGAAGATTACCTAGATATGTTTTTGAGGTATGGCCACCAGGCTTTTTTGGCAGCTGGAAGTGGATAGTGGGAAATCAAGGATGACTCCAAAGGTATATTTTGTCTGAGCAACTGGAAGAATGGACTAGTTATTAGGATAGGGAAAAGGTTTGAAGGTGTATGTCAGGAGAGAGCTCAGGAGCTCAGTTTTAGTTATGTATGTTTGGAGATGCATATTTGACATCTAAGTGGGTATGTGCAATAGGCAGTTATAATGAGGGCCTGGAATTCAAGTGCAACGTGTAGGCTGGAGTCATCAGTACACAGGTGATACTTAAAGCTGAGATGGATGAGAGCGTTATAGATAGTAAGAAGGTAGGAAAATTTTAGGACAAGTGAAATTGGGAAACTAAACAGATAATTAAACAGCCGTTTGCAGCCACCTAGTAAATCCTATCTTCCCTAAACAAGGACACTTAAGAGTAAATGGTTTGTACTTCTCCCCAACCAGAGGGTAAATAGTATAAATCACTCTACTCAGGGAGACAGATAACAGAAATCCAATTAGTGCCATTTGCTAACCACACCCAAGGACAGACAGGTTGAGAGAATAAATCTCATTCTGGTACATCAGCATAAAGCTAATGGGTATTCTGCTGATCCTCCCTTAAGGCCTCTCCTAAATGCCCACCCTTTAAAACCCCATGAAAACAAAGGTCCCAGCAGGCCATGCCATTCTCTTCCCCCACAGGCATGAATCTCCTAAACTCTAAGGGACCCCATGAGACTTGCAACCAGGGGAGCAATGAGCTGCAGCAATTTGTCCCAGGCTAACCCTGAACCTGTCTCCAAGGCCCCCTTTTCTCTTACTTCCCAGTGAGCCAAGGCAGCCTAGCCTAGGGTCTCCAGTTGCTTCTTCTATGCCCTTCCTTGTTTCTAAATGTGTTTTTGCTACCGTCAATAAAGTCTTGCTTGCTCTTCTGCACTTTGTCTCTTGATTGAAATCTTTCCTTTAAGAAGATAAGAACCAAGGTCTTGTAGTCTCACAGGTAACAAGAGCACCAAGTTCAGCAGTATAGGGGGAAAAAAGGAAGAAACTCTAGCACTGAACCCTCGAGCATTACATTTTGAGAACAGTTACTTGAGAAAGAATTAGCAGACACTGACAGAGCAGCTAGTGTAGAAGGAGGAAATCTGTATTTGGTGTCCTAGAAGGTAAATGTAGAACATATACCAAGGAGAAAAATTGATCAACTGTGTTAAATATTACTGATAGATCCATTAATGTGAGGACTGAGAACTTACGATTGGATTTGTGATGTAAAGACCACTGGGGACCTGTAAAGTTTTGGTAGCCTGCAAAAGTATGTATATCGTGTGTAGAGTGGAATCAAGTACATAGGAGGAGCAGTTATATAGTGGGAAGATAGTTTTTGCTTTGAGTTTTACTGTGTAAAAAAGGAGTGAAGTGTTATAGCTGGAGGGGGCTGTGAGGTCAGGAGAGGGATTTTTATAAGATGGAGTGAATAATATTTGCTAATGAGAATGATGCACAGAGAAAGCATTGATAATGCAGGAGCCAGGAGAATTAGACCTAGTGCAGAGGGCTACTCTTAGTAACAGAAGAGAAGTTAGAATGTGTGGACACGGCAGTAGATAGTTTAGATGGATGTGGTGGTGGGAGCTTGCGAAAGTTCTCTTCTGTTTGCTACATTCTGTGCTTAGAATGAGTATGGGGAAGAAGATATTGGATGTTTCAAAAAAAGTTAAAGTTATGAAATGGTGGTCTTGGTATGTCAGGTTGAGAGTGTGAACTAAGGAAATTAGTATGATTGTTGGCATCATTAAGGGCTACTTGAGATTAGTGATCTAAAATCAGACCAGTAAGTATAGTTGGATGTTTTTCTCTCTCACATTTAACTGTGGCTATAGGCACAGTAGCTAAAGGGTTGGTTTTAACCAGGATTGTAGTTTAGCCAAATGAATACCAAGATGCAATATGTATATATACACAAAGATGCAATATGTATATATACACAAAGAGACATATATGCATAATAAATATATATATATGGGTGTGTTGGGGGTAGTGTAAATGAGGGGAGGATTAAGGAGGGGGTCAGGAAGGAATAATTGAAGCATTATGGAAAGCTTTGAAAGAGAATTTAACTTTGGTGCTTTAATGGCTAATACAAAGATCCAAGTTGGGTAATTTCTGAAGATTTTGTGAGCAGTTTATTAAAGGAATGTGATTAGAACCACATGGTATTTTGGTCTCTCCAAACCAGACTTTGTTGAGCAGTCACTACATTTTTAATTAACCATGTTAATAAATTTTTAAACTTCTTTAACTCTTAGGGCAAGAAAACCAGCTGGTGGCATTGATTCCATATAGTGATCAGAGATTAAGGCCAAGAAGAACGTAAGTGATTATACTAGTAGAAAGTGGAGGGTAATATGCTAATTAGACTGGGTTGACCGACGTCTTCCGGTCATCCTGCCTTCCTTCCGGACAAAGCCACAGTGGCGGGGGCCGGGGGCCGAGGCAGAGGCAGCTAGGGTCAATTAGGCCAGCAGGGGAGAGCAGTTAGGGGCGATCAGGCCAGCAGGGGAGGACAGTTAAGGGCAATCAGGCCAGGGGGGGGGGGAGCAGTTAGGGGCAATCAGGCCGGCAGAGAAGGGCAGTTAGGGGTGATCAGGCCAGCAGGGGAGGGCAGTTAGGGGCAATCAGGCCGGCAGGGGAGGGCAGTTAGGAGAAATCAGACTGGCAGGCAGAGGTGTTAGGGGTGATTAGGATAGCAGGCAGGCAGTCCCGGATTGCAAGAGGGATGTCCAACTGCGGTTTCCCTCAAGGATAGTACCTAAACCGACAGTCGGACATCCCCTGAGAGGTCCCAGATTGGAGAGGGTGCAAGCTGGGCTGAGGGACCCAACCCCCCCATGCACGAATTTCATGCACCAGGCCTCTACTATATAATAATTACTCTGGTTAACACTATTAAAAGGGAAAAATGCTATCAGGTTGTTAAGTAATGCTCTCATATGCTTTTGTGTCATCATAAAAAAAAAAAGATTCCTGGTTGGGGTAAGGTCTTGAAAGCAACATAGTATCTGAATCTTCTCAAATCCATTTATTAAAACAGACAAAGTTAAAATAATAGTAAGAAACACACATAGAGAAAACATGTTTATTTTTTAAAAATGGGTGTTCCCACTAGCCACAGGATAAAAATGGGTATTCAAACCTTGATGACAGCAAGGACTTAACATGTTGAGCAGCTGTGTGGAAATTGTGAATGGAAGTAAATAGAGAGTTCCTAAGAGTCCTAATGCCACTGATACCCAAAGCAAATACCTATAAGAAGAAGAACCCACTCAGAGGACTTTCAGCAAATACCTTTGAGAATAACCTGTTAAAATGGGAGTGCTCCTCATGCTCCAGCGTGGAGAGAGTGCAAAAAAGGCCACAGGGATCCAGCAAGGGACCATGAAAAGATCAGAGAGAACTGGGCCATCCTAAGCTTTCAAAGACCTGAGGGAAACTGGATAAAAACTCTTACAAAAAGGACAGGCACATCCTAAGAAGAACCTGCTGGGGGTAGAATCCAGTTTGCACAGGGCAAGAATATGGATAAAGGGGAGAAAAGATTCTGCAACTAGGGAAATAATCTCAAAACTATAGAAGTGGATATTCATACTGGCCATCTTTTAATACCTTTTATAACAACAGAGAATGGCTATAAACTTGAGGTGAAATTGATAAGCCGTGTTGATATCACATTGTTTTAAGTGCGTCAGAGGTGGTTATTGATGAGTAGTCACTTTAGGGAAACACAGTGGCAAAATTCACATGTGAAGATTCTGCTTTAGGGAATTCAGGAGGAAGTCTTGAAATCTATATTTTTAAAGCTCCCTGTCTTGATTTTAATGTGCAGCCCAGTTTGGGAATCACTGCAGTGATGTTATATCTGTAATAAGCCTGAAATCCCAGTCTCCAATAAGGTAAACACCAGTACATCTTATAAAGAGAACATTTCAGCACTTAGTAGACTCAGACCCAAGCCTACTCAATACTTTTATAATGTAAAAAGTTGATAAAATACATCTTATACAGCTAGCATAATAGGGGGGAAATTCAAGTTGAAAATATCCTCTCTAAATGCTTCATTGTGTAATTTTTGGTGCACATATATTTAAATACTCCATTTTCTTTTTCAGAAAACTGTATGTGATGGCTTCTGTGTTTGTCTGTCTGTTGATTTCTGGATTGGCTGTGTTTTTCCTTTTCCCTCGCTCTATCGACGTGAAATACATTGGTGTCAAATCAGCATACGTCGGTTATGATGATGCAAAGCGTACAATATATTTAAATATCACAGTAAGTAAAAATTTATATTAATAATAGATTACTTCATTCCTTTATGATGTTAATTAGAACCTTTGTCCTTGTTGAGAGGTTAAATGTGAAGCTCGCTGGTCAGTTTGCTTTCTGTGTGTCTACAGTATTGACCTTCTCTGTCATTTCTGGTTCTGCTGAAAGTGGTGAATAATAAATACAGTCAGTTGTGTATGCAGAATCATTTAGCATTTGAAAATGCCTTTAGGAGGATAAATGAATTAAACAATTGATCGCTACCAAAAAATATATTTATAATCTGTTTACTTTTCAACATTTGTTAATGAATTTGAGACAGTTGTGAATTAGAATTAAAAAAGTTGGACCTAGTGTTACCTAAGTATAGAAGTGGTGCACCTTTATCTTTTTCCAACCAAACAGACTTAAACCTTTTCCATTTTTCTCCATGGTGACCTGGTAGAAATTTCTATTTATTTATAAGCTAAAATACCAATTTCTTTTAAACAAAATTTATTTAAAGTACTGCTATATGGCCATATTTGTATTTATTAGAATAAGAAGTAACTTTATTAACATTTAGTAAACATTTAGATGAAATTTAAAAATTATTTTTATTGAATTTTTGCTAATGCCACAAGTACCTTTTCTAACATTCTCGGCCTGTACCATTTCTGGGTCTTTTTTTTTTTACATTATTGTAGCATATTCAATACATTGGACTCACATAAAACCAAAGAATTGGTTCATTTGATATCCTTTGACATTTTTGTTAAAACTTTTATTCTAATAATGAAGCATGGCCACAACTAAAGTCATTTTTATTAGTTTGAATACATCTTCCTTTTGCTTATTTTCAGATAACTTAGACATTTTCTGCCTCCTTTCTTTTGCAGAACACACTAAATATAACAAACAATAACTATTATGCTGTTGAAGTTGAAAACATCACTGCACAAGTTCAGTTTTCAAAAACAGTTATTGGAAAGTCACGTTTAAACAACATAACAAACATTGGTCCACTGGATATGAGACAGGTAAGCTTCAGTCATGAAATATTTTGAATAAGTTAAAGGAGTCTCAACTTTATTGTACTACCTTGAGGGAGGTGGGGATTTCCTCAAAAACTTAACTTTCAAATATGCCCCGTCTATAATAATAAAAACGTAATATGCTAATTAGACTGGACAGCCGAACGACCTTCCGGATGTCCTTCTGGATGACCTTCTGGATAAAGCTGGGGCTGCTAGGGCCAAGGCAAGCCGCTGTGGCTGCGAAGGCCGAGCCCCTTGCACGAATTTCGTGCTTCGGGCCTCTAGTGAATATATAAGAGTAAATCTTAGCATCAGACTCATAAAGGGAGAGATTTCTGAACTCTTTGAAGTTATGAAATGTATCTGAAATGTTTGATTATTGATCCTATTCTCTCTGTTTATTTTTATTTTTTTGCCTTTCAGATTGATTACACAGTACCTACTATCATAGCAGAGGAAATGAGTTATATGTAGTAAGTTCTGACTTTTATTTTCTCTCGTCAAATTATAAAGTATGAAGTAAATATGTATATATTTTATCTCCCATAATCTTAGCAGTCACAAGACCACATTTTGGAATGTTCCTTCTGGCTTCTGCTCATCTCTATTTTTCTCTTCTCCCTTTTCAACATACATGACATTTATGTGCAACACCTGATTTTTTTTTTTTCATAATTAAGATCATATATACCATGTCACTTTATGTTTACTATTTTAAAATCATATTCTCCTATATTCTATTATTTGTTGATGTTTTATTATAGGAAGATTAATAATGCTAATACAGTCAAGCCTCATTTCTCAAATGTCTCTCATCTCGAACAATTCTGTTCTCAACCCAGTTCACAGAAAAAATAATCTGGGTTGTCAAAATGAACCAAACTTTGGTTTTCAATGTTTATGCTGATACCTCAGCATGACAAAAAGTCTCTCTCAGGCAACTGGGAGAGAGTGCTTTTGTTGCTGGCTAACTCAACCATTAGCACAATTTTAAAACATAAAGAGGTCCTCAAAAGTGCTAATGGCCCTAGCAGGTTTGGCTCAGTGGATAGAACCTTGGCCCGTGGACTGAAGAGTTCCTGATTCCGTTCCAGTCAAGAGCACATGCCTGGGAGGCAGGCTCAATCCCCAGTAGAGGGTGTACAAATCAATGGTGTTTCCGTCCCTCTCCCTTCCTATCTAAAAATCAATAAAAACATTAGGAAAGGGTCAGAGCGTGCAGGAGAGGTCAACAGGGGAAAAAGGAGACATATGTCATACTTTCAACAATAAAGAATTTAAATTAAGATTAAAATAATAAAATATATAATGACATTGATATTTTAGGAAAAGAAGGTAAAGTTCTTAAAAAAATGGGGAAAATTAAAAGAGTGCTAGTGTTGCTAACGGTATGAAAGAAACAATGATTACAGGCTATTGAAGAGGTAGAAAAACTGCTCTTGATTTGGATAAATGAAAAGCCATTAGCCAGTGATAGCATCTCAGAGGCAGTGATATATGAACAAGCAAAGACACTGCATGCTGACCTGAAAGACACCCCTGGACCAAGTGCTGAAAGTGATTCCTTTAAGGCTAGTAAGGGGTGGTTTGATAAATTTAAGAAATAAAGTGTTTATTTGTAGATTAAACAGTACATTAGACATGTACTCTATGTAAGAAAGGTTAAAATAGAATCATTTGGGGGTCTGGAATGGATTAATTCAACTTACATTATTTCTAATAGGAAAAAATGATTTGGGTTTTCAAACAAATCGCTTGTGGAACAAATTAAGTTCAAACCGATATTCCACTGTAATGTGTAATACTCTGTTGTTTTGATGTTCTAAAGCTTATAAATTGGTTCTAAATGATTATTAACTCTTGCTAAGTAAAACAGTGATAAATTTTTATCCTCTATCAGCCTGATATAAAATTTATGAACTACAAACTGATTAGTGAAATTTCAAAAGGTGAAAAGTAAAAGTAGGGAGAGAGACAAAATGGCAGCAGAATAGGCAGATGTGTCCCGAGCCTTGTCATGAAGCAGATTGAGGGAGCAACTAAATCGAATAACATCCACCCTGAATTGGCAAAGTGAACACAGCTGGTGAGACGATTCGCAGCCGGAAAGGGCAGAGGGTGCCTGGAGAACGGTAAAATCAGGGATCTGGCTGGAGAGGTGGGAGACCTCCAAGCCCGGAGGGTCGGAAGGAAGCCGTACGGCACCGAGGCCGTGTCCCTTTGGACAGGTGTAACATCTTTCTTCTTATCCACTCATCCTCTTTCGACTTCATCTATACTGAACTGAGGCCCTCCCCATATTCATCCAATTCCTTAACCTTACTTTCTGTATATAAGCCCGGCCTCTACAGATTCTGCCCCCACACTCCTTTCTGGGTGTTTGGTGTTTGCATTTTTTGGTTTATCTGTTTGTTCAGTGTTGTTTTCTCCCCGTATATATTTTTTTCCTTGTTCTTCTTATTCTTTTTCTTTTCTCTGTTACCATTTTTTCTCTCCTTGATATCATTTGTGCTCTTTTTTCTCTCCCCCAATTCTCTTTTCTCTGGTGGTCACTAATAGTGGGGTTATCAGTGTCATGAGTACATTCGTGTTTTGTTGCCTTTGTGTTGGGTCTTGTGTCTTGCATTTTCTCCTGTTCGGTCAATGTGGTAGAGAGCGAGCCATATAACCAGACACCCAGAGAGGAGACTCCATTCACGAACAGGTCAATAACACTCCAGATCCAACTACAGAGGCAAGAAGATGGTGTTAGTGAGGGAGAGAGTGTGAGTGAGTGAGGGAACAAAAGGGGAGTGTGTGGGGGGGGGGGGGGGGGCGGGGGTGTGTCTGTGTGTGTGTACGTGAGTGAGGGGCAGTTGGACCCTGCAGGACTGTTGCAAACAGTCCCGGGGGGGCTGGCTCTACTGCAGAGGCCGTGCCTTCTTGAAGGGGAGAGCTGCTGTGATTGGGAGCCCAGCCTCACCTCCACCCAGGGTGCCCTCAGACACCACCCAGGGTCTACAGCCACCCCCGCCAAGGACCTGCTGCCTCAGCTGTGGTCCTATGGTCACCGAGACTTCAGCCACCCTGGCCACAGGCTCCTGTGAGTTCCGAGGTGCACTCCCCTCTGGCCAGCCCAATGCTTTGGCCTAGGGCACCACAACTACACTAGTAGCAGCCGTGCAAGCATCCCGCCCCCATCCAAGGAGCAGCAGCATGCGAGCAGCCCGCCCTTGTCCGAGGAGCAGCAGCAGCATGAGCATCCCGCTGCCGTCCAAGAAGCAGCAGCCACGTGAGCAGCCTGCCCCCGCCAGCCAGAGGAACCACCACTGCTGCGAGCAGCTGCGCAAGCAGCACACAGCAGAGGAGCCACTGCCAACTGAGGAGTAGCTACTGCCATGACTGCCCAGGAAAAGCCGCCACCCAAGGAGCTTCAACCGCCCGAGGAGCAGCCCCCACATGACTCGACACCTAGATACTTCAGTGAGAATGGGGAAACAAACCCCCAAAGGAAAGGAGGAATTGCCAAAAAGGAGCTAAGTGAAACAGAGGCATGCAATATGTCAGACAAAGAATTCAGCATAAAGGTTATACAGTTCATAAACCAGATGGATGAAAAAAATCAACAACTTATGTAAGAATCAAGAGGAAATAAAGAGTGATATAGCTGCAATAAAAAAACACTATGGAAAGTTTCAACAGTAGACTAGGAGAAGCGGAGGACCGAATTAGTGAATTAGAAGACGGAAGCAAAACACATCCAAACTGAACTTCAATTGGAGAAAAATATTAAAAGACAGGAGGAGAGCCTAAGGGAGCTTTGGGACAACATGAAACAAAGCAACATACGAATAATAGGAGTGCCATAACAACAGAAAGAGGAACAATGGTTAGAAAACCTTTTTGAAGAAATGTGAGAAAACTTCCCTGATTTGGGGAAGAAAAAAGTCACACAAGCACAGAGAATCCCAAGTGAGATGAACCTAAAAAGACCCACACCAAGACACATTGAAATTATGATGGCAAACATTCAGGACAAAGAGAATCTTAAAGGCTGCAAGAGAGAAACAGAAAGTTACGTAAAAGGGATCTCCCATTAGATTATCAAATGATTTCTCAACAGAAACACACCGAGGTCAGAAAGGAATGGCGGGAAGTTTATAAAGTGATGCAGCGCAAGAGACTGAATCCAAGAATACTCTATCCAGCAAGGCTATCATTCAAAATTGAAGGGGAAATCAGAAGCTTCACAGACAAAAAAAAAAAAAAGGCTAAGGGAGTTTATCCCCACCAAGCCAGCAATGCAAGAAATGCTAAAGGGATTGGTGTAAAAAGAAGAAATAAAAAAGGAAGAAGGAACATAGGCACAAAAAATAAAAATGGCTACAAACAAGTACCTATCAATAATAACTTGAAACGTCAATGAACTAAATGCTCCAATCAAAAGACATTGAGTTGCTGAATGGATAAGAAAACATGACCCATATATATGCTGTCTACAAGAGACCCATCTCAGAACAAGGGACTCACACAGACTGAAAGTGAAGAGTTGGAAAAATATCTTCCAGGTAAATGGAAATGAAAAAAAAGCTGGGGTAGCAATACTTATATCTGCCAAAACAGACCATAACAAGGCCATAACAAGAGATAAGGAAGGCCACTTCATAATACTAAAGGGACCGATACAATAAGAGGATATAACTTTAGTAAACCCAATGCAGGAGCACCCAAATACCTGGAAGATATCAAGGGTGGAATCAACAACAAGACAATCATAGTAGGGGACTTGAATATCTCACTGACATCACTGGATAAATGCTCTAGACAGAAATCAGCAAAGAAAACAGCAATTCTAAATGACTCACTAGATCACATGGACTTAATTGACATCTTCAGAACATTTCACCCCAAAGCCACGGAATATACGTTCTCAGGTGCACATGGGACATTTTCAAAGATAGACCACATATTGGGGCACAGGCAAAGTCTCCAAATTCAAGAAGATTGAAATCATATCAAGCATCTTCTCAGACCGCTATGGCTTAATATTAGATATAAACTACAATCAAAACAATCAGAAAATTCAAACACTTCCCAGCTGAATAGCATGCTATTAAACAATGATTGGGTTACCAAAGAGATAAAAGAAGAAATTAAAAACATCCTGGAAATGAATGACAATGAAAACACAATAATCCAAAATCTATGGGACACAGTGAAAGCAGTCCTGAGAGGAGAGTTTATAGCTGTACCAGGCCTACCTCAAAAAAAGCAAATAAATAAATAAATAAATAAATAAATAAATAAATAGTAATAAATTATCTAACTCTACAACTTAAAGAATTAGAGAGCAACAAGAAAATCCCAGAGTGAGCAGAGAGAAGGAGATACTAAAGATCAGAGCAGAAATAAATGACATAGAGACCAAAAAAAAAAACAAAAAAACAAAAAAAAACAGTACAAAAGATTAATACAACAAAGAGCTGGTTCTTTGAAAGGATAAATAAGATTGATGAACCTCTACCCAGGCTCACCAAGAAGCAAAGAAAGAGGACCCAAATAAGCAAAGTCAGAAATGAAAGAGGCGAAATAACAACAGACCCCACAGAAATACAAAGAATTGTTAAAAAAAAAAAAAAAAACTATGAACAACTCTATTCCAACAAACTAGACAACCTGGAGGAAATGGACATAGGTTGTAGAAAAATACAATCTTCCAAAACTCAGTCATGAAGAATCTAAAAATCTCAAAGGCCAATAACTATGGAGGAAATTGAAGCAGTCATCAAAAAACTTCCAGCAAACAAAATCCTGGGGCCAGACAGCTTCACAGGGGAGTTTTACCAAACATTCAAAGAACTAAAACCTATCCTTCTCAGACTATTCCAAAATATTTAAGAGGAAGGAACACTTCCAAGCTCATTCCATGAAGCCAGCATTACCCTAATACCAAAACCAGATAAAGACAACACAAAGAGAGAGAATAAAAGGCCAATATCCCTCATGAACATAGATGCCAAAATCCTCAACAAAATTCTAGCAAATTGGATCAAGCCTTACATCAGAAAGATCATACACCATGACCAAGTAGGATTTGTCCTGGGGATGCAAGGATAGTACAATGTCCGCAAATCAATAAGCATGATACATCACATAAACAAATTGAGAGATAAAAATCACATAGTCATATCAATTGATGCAGAAAAAGCATTTGACAAAATCCAACACCCTTTCTTGATAAAAACCCTCAGCGAAGTGGGAATAGAGGGATCATACCTCAACATAATAAAAGCCATATATGACAAACGCACAGCCAACATCATACTCTATGGGCAAAAACTAAAACCATTTCATCTAAGAACAGTAACAAGACAGGGATGCCCACTTTAACCACTCCTGTTCCACATAGTACTGGAAGTGCTAGCCATAACAATTAGACAAGAAGAAGAAATAAAGGGTATCCAAATTGGAAAAGAAGATGTAAAACTCATTCGCAGATGACATGACACTGTACATACAAAATCCTAAAGACTCCATCAAAAAACTATTAGACTTAAAAAATGAATTCAGCTATGTGGCAGGATACAAAATTAACGCCCAGAAATCTGTGGCATTTTTATACATCAGTAGTGAACTTACAGAAAGAGAGATTTAAAAAAACAATCCCATTTACCATCGCACCAAAAAAATTAAGATACCTAGGAATAAACTTAACTAAAGAGGTAAAAGACCTGTACTCAGAGAACTTCAGGACACTGAGAAAAGAGATAGAGGAAGACATAAACAGATGGAAGAACAGACTGTGTTCATGGATTGGTAGAATCAGCATCATTAAAATGTTCATACTATTCAAAGCAATTTATAGATTCAGTGCACTCCCCATTAAAATACCAATGGCATATTTCATAGACCTAGAATGAACTCTTCAAAAATTCATCTGGAATAATAAAAGACCCCAAATAGCTGCAGCAATCCTGAGAAAGAAGAACAAAGTAGGAGGTTTCTCAATACCAGATATCAAGCTATATTACAAAGCCACTGTTCTCAAAACTGCCTGGTACTGGCACAAGAACAGACATAGACCAATAGAATAGAATAGAATAGAGAACCCAGAAACCACTATGCTCAATATTTTACAAAGGATGCAAGAGCACACAATGGAGTCAAGACAGTCTCTTCAACAAAAGGTGTTCGGAAAATTGGACAGATACATGCAAAAAAAATGAAACTAGACCACCAACTTACACCATACACAAAAATAAACTCAAAATGGATAAAGGACTTAATTGTAAGACGGGAAACCATAAAAATCTTAGAGGAATCCATAGGCGGCAAAATCTCAGGCATATGCCAAAGCATTATCTTCACCAATACAGCTCCTAGGGCAATGGAAACTAAAAAGAAAATAAACAAATAGGACTATATCAAAATAAAAAGCTTCTGCACAGCAAAGGAAACCATCAACAAAACAACAAGAAAGCCCACTACATGGGAGAACATATTTGCCAATGTTATCTCCGATAAGGGTTTAATCTCCAACATTTACAGGGAACTCATACAACTTAACAAAAAGGAAGATAAACAACCTAATAAAAAAAAATGGGCAACAGACCTAAATAGATACTTATCGAAAGAGGACATACAGAAGGCCAAGAGACATGTGAAAACATGCTCAAAGTCACTAATCATCCGAGAGATGCAAATCAATACAACGTAGTACCATCTCACACTTGTCAGAATGGCTATCATCAACAAATGACAAGTGCTGGTGAGGATGTGGAGAAAAAGGAACCCTCGTGTACTGCTGGTGGGGATGCAGACTGGTGCAGCCACTGTGGAGAACAGTATGGAGTTTCCTCAAAAAACTAAAAATGGAACTCCCATTTGACCCAGTAATCCCACTTCTAGGACTATATCCCAAGAAACCAGAAGTACCAATCAGAAAGGATATATGCACCCCTATGTTCATAGCAGCACAATTTACAGTAGCTAAGATTTGGAAACAGCTTAAGTGCCCATCAGCAGATGAGTGGATTAAAAACCTGTGGTACATCTACACAATGGAATACTATGCTGCTATAAAAAAGAAAGGAACTCCTACCATTTGCAACAGCATGGATGGACCTGGAGAGCATTACACTAAACAAAATAAGTCAGTGATATCACATGATCTCACTCATTTGTGCAATGTAATTAACAACATAAACTGATTAACAGAAACAGATCCAGAGACAGAAAAGCATCGATCAGACCGTCCAACCTCAGAGGGAACGTAGAGGAGGGTGAGGGTAAAGGGGAGAGATCAACCAAAGAACTTGTATGCATGCATATAAGCCTAACCAATGGACACAGACACCAGGGGGGTGAGGGCATGAGCGGGGGCAATGGGAGGATAAGCACACATATGTAATACCTTAATCAATAAAAAAAATTAATTATTTTTAAAAAGTAAAAGTAAATTGCCCTGGCCAAAGTGGTTCAGTTGGTTGAGCGTCATCCGTGCACTGAAAGGTCACCTGTTCCATTCGCAGTCAGGGTACATACCCAGTTTTCAGATTTGATCCTGGTCTGGGAGGCAACCAATTGTTGTTTCTCACATCAGTGTTTCTCTCTCTCTTTCTCTCTCACTCTCTCTCTCTCTCTCTCTCTCTCTCTCTCGCTCTCTCTGGCTCTCCTTCTCTCTCCCTTCCTCTCTTAAATCAATAAAAACATTTTAAAAAGTGAAAGTAAGTTGTGGCCCATGTTAAAACAGCTCTACAACTGCTATAGTAAGAAAGCATATTTGTTTATAGAATAAGAAGGCATGAAAATATTAATCATTATATGAGATAGAGGAAATGATCAACCAATACTGCTTACTTATTATATCTTAATAGTATCACTTAGCTTTAACATAGGAAGAATTGTAATTAAACTTTTACATTTATGTCATAGGTATCATGTGTTCACATTGTTTTCTCTTTAACAGTGACTTCTGTACACTGCCATCCATCAAAGTGCATAACATAGTTCTCATGATGCAGTGAGTATAAATTTTTTGAAAAAGACATTTCTTTGTTTAAATTTCAGATTCATAACATTGGCTTAGAGCAGCGATTTTCAACTGGTGTACTCTGAGAATTTTTAAAGCATGCAATACCTGACTAGTCAGGGACACTGACCTCTTTTCTCTTAGATTGTCAAATACAAAAAAATGACAATAGCCGACACAATATAGCCTTCTAGTGTGAATGCCCTGTCGCGAACCATAAGTATATAGGTCACATAATAGAGTTGCATCTTATTGGTCATGTTGCATAATAAGTTTGCATCTGACTTACTTTGAAGCAAAAAGGGTAGGTAATCACTATTAGTTTATTTATTTGTAAATCAAAAATATACCCTTATTTTTGATCAGCAAATAAGTTTTTGGTCTGTTTCAGAATTTTAGTAATTAGATTATGTGTGCCTTGAATTGAACAGGGTTGAAAATCACTGACTTGGAGCATACGCAGCATTTTTACAATGCCATCTCATTTGGGTGTTATGTCTTACAAGAGTGCTCTGATGTCAAATAACTATTATCCCATGTTACAAATGAGGAGATGGGAGCTCAAGAAATATTAGTACAGGATCGGCAAACTGCGGCTCGCAAGCCACATGCGGCTCTTTGGCCCCTTGAGTGTGGCCACGAAGTTTCAATCGCACTGTACGTGCGCGCCCACACGTGGTATTTTGTGGAAGAGCCACACTCACGGGGCTGCAGTTTGCCAACCACTGCCCTAAGCTGTTAAAACATTGTAGGTTATAGGTTTGGAATTTGAGCCTAACATTTGATGAACCCTTTTCTATAACTGTATGATTTTTAATAATATAATGAACTTATGCTATATTTTTAACTAAAGATAGGTGTTTTGGAAAAAAATACATTTGTTGTATATAATTATTTGGATAGGGCTTGCTCGGCCAGCATTTCTGTTGTCTGTTGGGAAAATATTCCCTAAGAGACCCATGTCCAGAATATGAAGCTATCATCAATCAAATAATCTCTCTCTGGAGAGAATTTTAATGTATAAAAGTATTCTCAATTGAGAAAACTTTTTTATATGTAACTATTCAATGTTTCCCCGCATTTATTTTATTTTCAGAGTCACTGTGACAACAACATACTTTGGACACTCTGAACAGATATCCCAGGAGAGGTACCAGTACGTCGACTGTGGAAGGAACACGACTTATCAGCTGGGGCAGTCTGAGTACCTGAATGTCCTTCAGCCACAACAGTGAAAGCTGGACGAGATGCGGCTAGAGAAGAAGAAACAGTATTGATTTTTTTTTAATCCTCACCTGAGGATATTTTTCTATTGATTTTTAGAGAGAGTCGGAGGGGGAGAGACAGAGAGAAACATCGATGTTTAGAAAGACATGGGGTCGGGGATTGAGCCTGCAACTGAGGTATGTGCCCTTGACCAACACTCCGTCTACTGAGCCAAATTGGCCAGGGCCCTATTGATATCTTTTAAACTCTGAAGGATGAGGGACTTACTTTCTGATAGGGGATCATACATTGAACAACCTAAATTTTACACTACTCTGTATTTACACTATTCTATACAGCTAAAAGTATGTGGACTTGCAAGTCTTTGCAGCTCTCTACTCCCAAGTACATGATATTGGTACCAGGATCTTTACTTAAATCTAAGATTACTGATTGGTTTTCTTCTCCCCCGATCCCTTCACCCCCACTCCCCAAAGGTGGAAACTGAGACTCCCTACAGTAAAATAAATATTTAAGGTTCACAGCTCCAATCACTACTGAAAACATAAGTTTGGTGATTAACATAATTCAAGAAACTTTATTTCTGAAAGTTTTTATAGACTTATTACTGGTAGCTTATTCTTTATGAAAGACTTTTAAGGAATAACCTTTTTTCCTGTTTTATCATTCCCATTGCTACAAGGAAGTATTTCATCTATATGGTATCATATTTCATCCTTTAGGTAAACATTTTTAGTTTTTCATTTGTTGAAATTCTATTCATTTGCATTTTTTGTCCATCTTATTTCAAGCCAGTGCTTGAATAACACTTATAAATAAACCAAAATAATCTTTGCAAAATTCTCTACCTAAAATTTTTAAAGTCTCTAAATGTTTCACTTGTCTTTTCATTTTAATTATAATTTTGTGAAATTTTGGTATAATCTTCAAACATAATTAATGTATAATATTGTAAATAAACTGCATGGCTTTTATACAGCTTTAATGTCAAGTGATACAGATTTAAAAGAAAGTAAGATATTCATAAATATAAAATAGGAAATGAAATTCAGAAACCTATAGAATGTGGATATATTTCCATTTACATATTAGATTAGGCATAAAATAAATTTTAAATAAAGTATTTTGATGTTCCATTTTTTAAATATTGCTTTTCATACTAAAAATTGTGAAGACACTTTTCATAACTATTAGGTACCCAAATTATCAATTTTATGAATGCTTTGAGGTAGAAATTTCTTTGGTTAAAATTATCCAAGAAATCCTGTCATTGAATGAAAGTGGCTGTATCAAAATAAAATCTATATTATGCTTTTAAATATTTAATCACTTTGCACATCACATGGATATCATGCCTCTAGCAGTTACATTTTTAAGGTTTTCTACTTTTGGTTTGAATTTTATTTAAAATTGTTTTCAACTGTAAATTATTGACTTATTCACTTTGTTGTTTTATGCTTTCAATACCACTTACCAACTGGGCCTTTTGCCTTTTTACTTACTAAGGTCTAAGTACCTTTCAAATACATACCACTGAATGTAGGGGCTGACTGTGCTATTCAAAAAAAGGGGGAGGGGATGGCTTGATCAGTATCTTTCTGTTGCCTCCTTACAGGAATAAGGCTCCCCTGGCCACCTCCCCCAAAATGTCTAACTTAAGTCTGAAACATAATTATTAAACAGTCTGACTCAATTCTGAAACATGTTGTATTAAATTATTTCTATTAATAACTAATTACTGAATTTATTATTTACTTATTAATAATTATTATGAAGCCCTCCTTTCTAACTACTTATCTTCCCTTAATTTATTGCTAACTTAATCCAGTGTTACTGCTAAACTAAAATCAGCTCTTCACATTTATTATGGAATTCTGGTCAAACCCAATTTTTAAGTTTTTTCCTTAGTTTTTGACTACTCCCATTCTTGAAATCCCACACTTCTCTAGTGTATTGATTCTATTTATATTTTCCAAATCATTGTCATTTCATTTTCCCTCATTCTCTTCTGACATCTTTTAATGAGTATTATCTAGACCAGTGATTCCCAAAGTGGGCGCTACCGCCCCCTGGTGGGCGCTGCAGCGATCCAGGGGGGCGGTGATGGCCACAGGTGCATTTGGGGGCATATATCTTTCTGTTTAATTGCTATTAAAATTTTTAAAAAAATTAATTTCCAGGGGGCGCTGAGTAATATTTTTTCTGGAAAGGGGGCGGTAGGCCAAATAAGTTTGGGAACCACTGATCTAGACCCTCTTTCACCTCATAATTTCTACTCCTGTGACTTCAACAATGCAATCATTTATATCAGATCTTCCAAATCTGTTTCCACATGCCTGATCGATAACCCATCTAGTTTCCCATGTAGCTAGTGACTTAGAAATACTAATATTTCAGTGACTATGTGTAAAACCAAACAATGTTTTACAAAATCTTACTTTTTGTTTTGTTCTCATCTTGTCCTCATATCCTGTTTCCTTCAAAATCACATTCATTTCTTCAGAATCATCTTCTACAAAAATCAATCCTAATTTATTTTCTTGCTTTGTATCTTTTAACCTTGGAAAATTATATAATGTAAATTAAATGGATTTTTTTGTTGATTTGTGGTTCTAAAATTCTTTTGGATTCATAGAATCTAATGAAGAGGCGGGAAAGTGAGGGAACATTTGGTTTTTATTAATTTAGTTTCGAATATTTTTTTTTCTTCTTTAAAAACTTATTATACCTACTTTCTGTGAGTTTAAGTCAGAAAAAAAAAACCCTAAAATTTAAAGTAAGTATTTTTTAAAAAGGTAGTGGAGAAATAAAGATCACCTATGACTACTTTCAGAGTGGGTTAAGTAACTACCAGAATAAGCCTAAAACAGCTGGCTATAAATTAATATTAATAACACTACAGAAACACATTCTGGTAAGGCCAAATTATAGCCATTTTTAAAAAATCTGGGAAGAATAAATGAGGCTTATCTTTTCTTAGGTCATTGTCCGATGTAGTTTCTTACATGGTAATAGGATAGGTATCAGTGCATTGTTTTAAAACTGCTCTCAGACCTTATCCAAAGGACATGGTAAAGATATTACATTTTTTTTCTGATAATTCCAAGGATAACTTTCTCTTAAATTACACTTTTAATAGCCTGGCCATTCTAACAAGGTATAATACTGTAACAAGCCCGTGTGTGTTGATGTCACATGTACACAGCACTGTGTCCTTTTCAGAGCACTTTCATATATTTTTCTTAGGTGATTTACCATAGCCCTGTGAGTTAGACAAAAGAGGGTAGGATCCTCCTCTTTTGAAATAGGAAGGAGAGGCATGGAGAAGTTGAAGGACATGCTGAACTTAACATATTTAGTAAATACTTTGACTGAGCCAGACCTAGTTTTTCTGTCTCCTATATCTGTGCTCTGTCATTTAATATATCCATTGGAAATGTCATTGACTCAGATTAGTATGATCAAAAATTAGAGGAACTGTTCACATGCTTAATAGTCACACTCAAAATAATATTGTGGACTATGGTTTGGGTAACTAAGTTAGTACCTGGAATATTTTAAATGGGAAATTAACACCAATAAAATATTTTGGACCATAATCTATAGCTTAATGTTTTTGTAAAATTTAGTACTTGATCATTCCAATAAAGATATGACATGTCATCAGAGTAGACTATTCATAAATAATAGAGATTTTGAGATTTGAAATATGAACAGTATGAAAATTAATTAGATACCAGACAAATTACTTGAAATTGCTAAAATGGTTACTATATAATACATAACATGTAAATGACTTTTAATTTGTATACAGTTTTTCTATGCCTTTTTTGTTTAGGTCAATGAGTTAATTATTTCTTCTAAAAATTCATGACAAAATAAAATTCAAAAAAGAAAATAAAATTCAAAAAAGAAAAGAAAATTCAAAAAAGAAAAGAAAATTCACTTCAGATCTTCTGAATTGTAGTTTGAAAATGACACAGTGCAGTGTTAAAATGTATAGGAAATAACTGCCAAAACACAATACAAGTAACCTAGGAGACTTTAAATGTTAGTCTAATGAGTCCTTTGTGGTTCTTAGCCTTATTATTGCAATATAATTCTGGATATTTCATTGGAGGGCATGTCCCCAACTGTCTCCCATGCTATTTTTTCTTTTTTAGAGTTCTTAATTCTTTAATGATTACATTGTATTTAAGAATATAATTTGTTAGGTACTTAACACTTAAGTCACTGCTAGGTATAGCTAATATTTATTGTTACTTCATGTGTCACATACTGTATTAATCTTTTGTGTGCATTATGTTACTCCTCAGAAGAGCCCTCTAAGGTGGATACTGTTGTTACCTCCCATTTTATATCTGATAAAATTGACTTTTAAGGAAGTTATAGTTAAGATTTTAAGTGGCAGATTCAAGATTTACAAGTCTGTAACTCAAGCATTATTGCTCTTATAATTAGCATATTTTCTTTCCAGTCTTTGAAAGTGATTGCAAAAATATATTGGTTGTTGCACTTAACATGTAAAACTTTGAGGTGTTTGATAGGCCATATACAGATTTTCAACCAACCACAGAGTTGACCCTTGAATAATATGGGTTTAAATTACACTGTTCAATTTGGATATAAATTGGCCTCTGCAGTCGAAACCTGTGTTGTTCGAGGATCAACTGTTTTCAAAAAATAATATTAGGATACTTTATTATTTTGTAGATCTTTGGTGTAATAAAAATGTTTATCATTGATTTTTAAAATATATTATTTCTTAGGATTTATTTCTTTTAAAAGATGAAAAATTTTAAATTTACAAATACGTATCAACCTTCTTTGATTAGCAGCATAAATTGACTTTCAAGCTATTAAGTTGCAAGCCAAAGGTTGTTACATTAGGTCATGACATCTTGAAAGCAGCAAATACTTGGCTCACATTCATATAAGAAAAATTAATTTGATTTATCTTGTAAAATATTTGAAATGAGATGTTTATCTTAAACTTTTATTTTAAGGGAAAAATGTGTTTGAGAAGGTAGGGTTAAAAGACTGTTAAACATTATTTCTTTAAAAAATGTATTTTTACATGAAAACAATATATTTACAATGTTCTTGGAACAAAAATTTCTCTTCTATATCCAAGATCTTCTTATTTTCAAAATAAACATTTTCATTTATCAGCTGAAATTTCTGATTAGAACTAATATTTGTGTATTTTTGTGTTTAGTCAGAATGTAAATTTCACAGTGGGTTTTTAAAATTATCCTTAATTTGGAAGAAAGCAAATAATATGTTTATAAAGTTACTACTGGGGGAAAATGGTAATTTTAATTTTTTTAAAACAAATAATATGATTGCTTATGTTTGTAGTTCATTTTACATGTGTTTAGCACAGGCTGTAAGTTTAAAAATATACTATGGTCTGTATTGATCCAAAAAAATATTTCATAAATTAATATAACAAACGTCAAGTTTTTCATAGCTAAATCTAATTCTTCTAGAAGGAAATTGTTGCCTTCTGTTTAATTACATTAAATGAAATGTGTTTAAATGTTTTCAGCATATTTTGTATACTAAAAAAACAAAAGGGATTAGTATTGAGCCAATGGCCAAGAGGTAATATTACTACCATGTAGACTGTTACAGTGTAAATTGTTTCACTTCCCCAGAATTTTAGAAACTAGAAGTCTGGGAGATGCAGCATCAGCTGTAGTTGGGTGATTCATCTTAAAATTATTATGTGACATGGAGCATATGCCAACTTGCAAAACATGCATAAGTTCATTATGTAATGGTTTGTTTTAGGCATAAAATATCAGCAAGCCATATCTTGAGTATTTTGTCTTATATTTCCTTGTAGAACTAAATTACATAAGATTTTGGAAAATAATTTGAAATGCTTGCTGACTTGACCTCCCTGGTCAAATATTTGAATGATGGCATTACTGGGTAGATTCTAACCCATGATTCTAATTATGGAGTAAAGAGTAATATAGATATGAGACTGTGTATAGGGTACTTACTCTTCGTATTATACATTAGCCTCCATCATAACACTTATTAGATTTCCAAGTCGAGCAGTTAACTATTGTTGCTGTTCATGTAACAAAACATGCTTATGATAGTAAACTGAGAAGTGCCCCCAAATGCTATTATTTTTAATTCACTTGTAACTGTTAACTCTTGTAATTGTGTATGACACAATAAAATTTGTAAAAATTTTAGCATGAAAAATAAAAGTTGTATTAGTCAAGTATGTTGGTTATGCTTTTGAAATTATCTTTACATAAATAAATCAGTTTAGATATTGAAAGCCCTTTAGCTTAAAGCCCTTAAGTCCTTACAACCTTTACTCAAATTCCACATTAACATCATCTTTGATTTCTTTTTCTTTCATTCACTTAGATTGTGATTCATTGCTGAATTCTATCTGTTCAATCTCTAATATCTCTGGAGTCTGTCTAATACTTGAAATCTTTTTTCCTATAAAATTATTTGGCCATATTTTTAATCCCCTAATCTTATTTCTTTCAATGCCCAGCTGTGTGTTCCACCTCTCTCTCCCTCCAAACATACTAAAACATTTGGTGACATTTCTCCCCACCCCCAATGTGTACTTTTAAAAGAATTGCCCAAGCACAAAAATTTTCTCTTTTTTTTTTTAACTCAAAACTTTTTGTTTTAAACTGAAAAACATAGTGTCAGCTTGGAGTTAGTGTTTTAATTATGGTTAAAAAAATGGTATGTTCTGAAGTTGTGAAAAATATATCTACACTAATAAAAGACAAACATGCAAATTGACCATAACTTCGCTATGCCTTAAGCCACCCCACCAGCCAATCAGAGCGACTATATGCAAATTAACCCAACCAAGATGGCCTCCAGCAGCCACGGAGCTGGAGCAAGCAGGAGGCTTGGTTGCTCCAGTGATGGAGGAAGCCAAGCTTCCCGCCTGCCACAGCAGGCTCTGAGCTCCACTCAAGGCAACAAAGTTTCAATTATAGAGGATAAACCCCAGATACCTGCTTTCAGCTGGCCGTGGCCACGGAGCTGGAGCAAGCAGGAGGCTTGAGTTGCCCCTGGCGATGGAGGAAGCCAAGCTTCCCCCGAGCCCTGGCCAGCTCTGAGCTCCACTCAAGGCTACAAAGTTTCAATTATAGAAGGTAAATAAATCACAGAATTAAAAGAAAAAAAGGAGAGGCTGGGAGCTTCTGTCGCCTGGGGGCTTGGCCAGCCTGAAAACGGCCCTCAGCCCCTCACCCAGACTGGCCAGGCCCCCCAGTGGGGAACCCCCCACCCTAAAGGGGGTGTGGCCAGCCTGCAAACAGCCATCAGCCCCTCACCCAGGCTGGCCAAACCTCCATGGGGTGAGGGTTCCCACTGGGGAGGGCTTGACCAGCCTGCAAACAGCCATCAGCCCCTCACCCAGGCTGGCCAGGCACCTCAGTGGGGACCCCCACCCTGAAGGGGGTGTGACCAGCTGCAAACACCCATCAGCCCCTCACCCAGGCTGGCCAGGCACCACAGTGGGACCCCCACCCTGATCCGGGACACCCTTCAGGGCAAACCAGCCGGCCCCCACCCATGCACCAGGCCTCTATCCTATATAATAAAAGGGTAATATGCAAACTGACCCTAACAGAAGAACGACTGGGAATGACTGGTCACTATGACACACACTGACCACCAGGGGGCAGATGCTCAATGCAGGAGCTGTCCCCTGGTGGTCAGTGCGCTCCCACAGGGGGAGCTCTGCTCAGCCACAAGCCAGGCTGCTGGCTACCAGCATAGCGGTGGTGGTGGGAGCCTCTCCCGCCTCCTCAGCAGCACTAAAGATGTCCGACTGCAGCTTAGGTCTGCTCCCTGCTGGTAAGTGGACATCCACCAAGGGCTGCCGGGCTGCCAGAGGGATGTCTGACTGCCAGCTTGGGCCCAATCCCCCAGGGAGCGGGCCTAAGAGCAGGTGGACATCCTCTGAGGGATCCCAGACTGCAAGAGGGCATAGGCCGGGCTGAGGGACCCCCCCACCCCTGTGCACAAATTTTTGTGCACCGGACCTCTAATATATATATCTATCTCCTGGTAGAATAATGGGGAAAATGAGATTACCTGGGTATGCTCTACCTAGCCAATTAAGGGAGAAAGGAGAATCATTAACAAGTTCATGAGGGTTGTGTTTTGTTTTTTGGTTTTTTTTTGGAAAATTAAAAGGTGTAGCCCTAGCCAGTTTGCTCAGTGAATAGAGCATCATCGGCCTGCAGACCAAAGGGTCTCAGGTTTGATTCTGGACAAGAGCCTGTACCGTGGTTGCAGGCTCTTCCCCGGCCCGAGCTCTGGTCGGAGTCTGTGTAGGAGGCAACCAATCAATGTGTTTCTCTCACATTGATATTTCTCTCTGTCTTTCCCTCTTCCACTCTCTGAAAATCAATGGAAAAATATCCTCAGGTGAGGATTAAAAAAAATAAAATAGAAAATTAAAAGGTGTAAAACACAAGACAAATAGAAAATAAAATTGCAAGTACTTTAAACTGAACTGAGAGCATTACATTTTTAAATGTTTCCAATAAATCCAAAGTGACAAGAAAAATTATATCTTAAAATGCATATATTAGAAAATAAAAAGACTGAAAATAAATAATCTATTTCCAACTCATAGTTTAATCACCAGTGGTTGATGATTCCCTATTTCCAACTCATAGTTTAATCACCAGTGGTTGATGATTTGATCAATCATGCCTAAGTAATGAAGCCTCCATGAAAATCCTATATAATCCTATATAATAAAAGCATAATATGCTAAGTGTTCGATCAATCGGTTGCTGTGATGTGCACTGACCACCAGGGGGCAGACACTCCAACTGGTAGCTTGCTGCTGGGGTCCAGCTGGTCAGGACTGGGCAAGAGATGCTGGACACACCTGGAGCCCTCCCCAGACAGCCCAATGGGCCCTCATCGGGGCCGGCCCCCATCAGCCCGATCACCAGCCAGGCCAAGAGATCCCACCTGTGCACAAATTCATGCACCAGGCCTCAAATAAATAAATAAATAAATACACACACCAAAAAAGACAGGGCTTAAAGAGCTTCCAGGTGGATGAATGTATCTAGGTGCTGGGAGGTAGTAAAACTCAGTTCCATGAGCAAGGATGCTCAGGACCCTGTGGCCCTACGTTCATCTGTGTCCTTTATGATATCCTCTGTAATACCTGGTAACTCTAAGTAAATGAGCTCTTGAGCCATTACTGCATCCAAGGAAGGGGTCATGGGAACCGCAGATTTTAGCCAGTAGGTCAGAAATAAGGTGACAACCTGGACTTGCAATTGGTGTCTGAAGCAGGGGCCGCCTCATGGGACTGAGACCTTAACCTGCCGTTTACCTGTGGGATCTGACGCTATCTCCAGGTAGATAATGTCAGAAGTGAGTTAAATCTGTAGCATACCTAGGCAGTGTCCTTTGAGAATTGGAGCATTGTTTGGTAGTGTTGGAAAGCAAACCATCCACTGACCACTTTTTATTCCCTCAAGTATTTTGCGTCTTCTCCATATCTCTTGAAGGAAACAAAATGGCCTTTGAACTTGAGGGATTTCTAAAAGCTGGGTGAGCACTATTTCTGCTATGCTACCTGGAGTGGATGATGGCTGGTAAACTCACAAGAGACAATCCTAAGGAAAATGAGCTAATTTTATAAATGTGAAATGTGATTCTCAGATGCAGAATATTGAAAAGCCAACTTTCTGCAAGAGCCACTCAGCACTCCAGGGGAAACTTGACCTGTCTGAATTACAGTAAGTTACAATGATAACAGCCAAGTGCACTCACAGGGTTACTGAGATTTGATGACTCAATGGTTGTGGAACCTCTAAAGTTCTGTAGGCATAAATGAATAACATATATACCATTGTTATTTCTGTATTGAATTTCTCCTGATAATTTCTTCTTATAGTCTCTTCTAAGGTAGGCACTGTATGAGACGAAAGTTATAGAAGAAATAAAATATTAAATAATATATAGTAGTGATTTCTCATGATTCTCATCTTTGATGTTTCTCTCTCTTCCTCTCCCTTCCTCTCTGAAATCAATAAAAATTATAATTAAAATAATAATATTAATAAAATGAAAAATCTCCTGAGAAGATTATGTTGAGGAAACTGCTCTTCTCATCCTTTGTTGTTTTCCTTTTCGCCTACCTGACATCCCTTTCCTCAAGACAAAGGAAGTTTGTCAGGGTGAGAAGGAAAAGAAAAATAATGTCACCTTTTTATGAGAAGAGTAATTCCAAGTGGGACAACTCCATACCAAACTTAGTGCAGGTTCCTCATCCTGATAGAGGGCAGAGGGGACACAGAGAGATGTGAGGACATCGGTACAAAACCCACACACTTTATGTTCTACCTAGGACTAGATGTGATTGCCAATAAGCATCAGAGTCCTATGCTTCTGATCATGTTTTCCAGTCACTGAATATTCTTGCCAGCACTTTATTTACAGCATTGTTTGAATACAGTTAACCATATTTCATGTGTTGAACATCCTAAATTTTGTCACTCCAGTAGCATTATGATCTATATCATTCTTGGACTTGGACCACAGGGGCCACTACCCCAGCAGGTGCTGGAGTTGTCCTTCACCATGTCACTCCCCACAGGGCCAAGGGCATGTGGCCAACCAGAGACTGTGTTCCACCTTCTAGACCAGTGGTCGGCAAACTCATTAGTCAACAGAGCCAAATATCAACAGTACAATGATTGAAATTTCTTTTGAGAGCCAAATTTTTTAAACTTAAACTATATAGGTAGGTACATTGTTATTAACTTAGTTAGGGTACTCCTAAGCTGGCCTTTGCTAAAAACGTCCTCAATCTGATTGAGGTCCGTTCGCTGAGGTCGACCCCTTCCAACTCTCCCATCCACACTCGTCTTGTATGCTTGTTTCAGATAGACGAGTGTGGATGGGAGAGTTGGAAGGGGTCGACCTCAGCGAATGGACCTCAAAACAATGTACCTCCCCCGCACTGCGTATCCCGTGGCCCGCCTGCGCCGTGTCTCCCGTCGCCCGACAGACCTACACCCCCCACTTCTTCTAATGCCACTTCTTCAAAATAGACTCGCCCAGGCCAAAAACTGACTTCTGCGCATGGGCCACGAAGTTTCAATCGCACTGTACGTGCGCGCCCACACGTGGTATTTTGTGGAAGAGCCACACTCAAGGGGCCAAAGAGCCGCATGTGGCTCATGAGCCACGGTTTGCAGACCA